AATTAGAGAAAGAGGGATACTTTGGTACTGAAAACACTAGATTTTTTGGAGAGAAATTAAAGATAGGAGTTTTTGTGGTAAGTATTTTTGGAGTGGGAAAAAGGGAGGCGATAACATTATTTAGAATGCAGTATAAAATAGTACTACTTTGTGGAGAATGCCCACATTTTTCCCTACTGAGAAATAGAAGTAACTGAAAATCATGGGTTTTTTGTTTGTTTGTTTCTAACTAAGAAAATATAATAGTAGTGACTCTTGTTGACTGAAATTGAGAGTTGGGATTAAGGCAGTTTTAAGTGCTGCTTTGTGCATTTCTTTGTTCTTCCAGTTTCTCTAAGCAAGTGTTACGTTTGTTATTATGTTTAAAAGTCAGGAAGTCATTATAGTTCAATAGCTGATGTGCATCATGAACCCATGTTATTGTTTTTAAATATAACTTCTGGTTCCTCTTTTGGTATATGTCAGTATGGAAAAAAAGTACAAAAAATAAGTTACCTCAAAACTTTAATAGTTTATTATCTGAGTGTTAAATTTACCAGGGATACTTTTCTTTTATATAAGGCTTTGTACATTCTGAATATATTCTACCAACCAAGAAATACATTGTCAGAATGAAAAAATTAAAACAGTTTAATTTGTTACTGATTTTAGAGAGAGCCAATGTGAGGGCGGGGGTGGGGGGGTGGAGACAGACATCAATTTGTTGTTCTACTTATTTATGCATTCATTGATTAATTCTTGTATGTGCACGGACCAGGGGTCATGCCCACAACCTTGGCATATTGCTACGACGCTCTAACCAACTGAGTTACCTGGCCGGGCCTGGGAATTATTTTTTAAATAAAGTTTAATGATAAAAATTTTAACTAGAGTAGCTTGATCACTTCTTTTCTGTAATACGTTTTGGGTTAATGAGAAGCTGCTCAGTTATTCTGTTCTATATACAATACATTTTCATCCTCTGAAACGTTTGGCAGCTCCAGCAGGAAGCAGCTGCTGATTTTAAATGGGAAATCTAAACAGCTAACTTTCCAACAAACTTTGTAGTCTGTGTCCTGCACAATTTAAAGAGCATAACAATTTCAAAAAATAGGCAAGTAACTTTCTTTTATAGTCTGTTTAGAAAACCTGAGTCATTGAATCCCAAATCTCAGTGAGTATAATTTTTATGTTGTAGTGTTACTTTCACACACAGATTTATTTAAGTTCTACCATCATCAAAACCAGCTATAATTAAGCATTTTCTTTGTGTAAGAAGCTAAATAGAACTTTTCTTGTTTTTGGAAGTACTTGGAAAATGTCAAGGATCTTTCACATAAAATTGGTACAGAGCTCTTTATTTACATTGTTATATCATCCTTTTCTATGACAGAAAACAAAGCAAATTTGATTAGTATTTCTTTCTTTTTTTAAATATGTTTTATTGATTATGCTATTACAGTTGTCCCAATTTTCCCCCATTGCCCCCCTCTGCCCAGTGCCCCAGTTCCCTCCAGCAGTTCCCCCCTTAGTTCATGTCCATGGGTCATGCATATAAACTTTTTGGCTTCTCCATTTCCTATGCTGTTCTTAACAACCCCCCCCCCCAATTATTTTGTACCTACCATTTATGCTTCTTATTCCCTGTACCTTTTCCCCCATTCTCCCCACTCCTCCCCGCTGATAACCCTCCATGTGATCTTCATTTCTGTCATTCTGTTCTTGTTCTGGTTGTTTGCTTAGTTTGTTTTTGTTTGTTTGTTTGTTCTAAATTCAGTTGTTGATAGTTGTGAATTTGTTGCCGTGTTAGTGTTCACAGTTCTGATCTTGTTCTTTTTTTTTTTTTTTTTTTTTTTTGCAGAGCACTATCGATGTAGGTTTTTATTAATTACTCCCTGCCTCCCTCACCAAAAAACACATGATCTACATATCATTTCTTTGAAATAAAGTGGCTTGAGAAAGATTTCTGTCTTAAGTATTTACATGTATTACACCCAATACTGTGCTCTAAGCCATTGCCTTTTATTACTATTCTATTACAGTTGCCCGAATTTTTCCCACTTTGCCCTCTTCAGCCCATCCCATCCCCTTTCTCGCAGTAAATTCCCGCGCTGTTGTCCATGTCTGTGGGTCATTCACACATGTTCTTTGACTAGTCCCTTCCCCGTATTTCAACCATTATCCCCCTCTCCCCTCCCCTCTTGCAGCTGTCAGTCTGTTCTCTGTTTCCATGCCTGCCATTCTATTTTGTTCGTTAGTTTATTTTTTCATTAGATTCCTCTTATAGGTGAGATCATATGGCATTTGTCTTTCACCACTTGGCTTATTTTACTTAGCATAATGCTCTCCACTTCCATCCATGCTGTCGTGAAAGGTAGGGGTTCCTTCTTTCTTTCTGCTGGGTAATATTCCATTGTGCAAATATACGAAAGCTTTTTGATTCACTCATTTGCTGATGGGCACTTAGGCTGTTTCCAGCACTTGGCTATTGTAAATAGAGTTGCTTGAACATAGAGGTGCATAAGTTCTTTTGAATTGCTGATTTGGGATTCTTAGGGTATATTCCCTGCAGCAGAATCACTGAATCAAAAAGTAGTTCCACTTTTAGTTTTTTGAGGAAATTCCATATTGTTTTCCACAGTGGCTGCACCAGCCTGCATTCCCAACAGCAGTGGACTAGGGGTCCCTTTTCTCCACATCCTCACCAGCACTTGTTGTGTGTTGATTTATTAATGATGGCCTTCCTGACCAGTGTGAGGTGATATCTCATTGTGGTTTTAATTGGCATCTCTCTGATGGCTAGTGATGTTGAGCATTTTTCATATGTCTATGGGCCCTCTGTATGTCCTCCTTGGAGAAGTGTCTGTTTAGGTCCTTTGCCCATTTTTTAAATGGATTGTTTGTCCATTTAATCTTGATCTTGTTCTTTTTCTTAAGTAAGTCCCTTTAACATTTCATGTAATCATGGGTTGGTGATGATGAACTCCTGTAACTTTACCTTGTCTGGGGAGCACTTTATCTGCCCTTTCATTCTAAACGATAGCTTTGCTGGATAGAGTAATCTAGGTTATAGGTTCTGGCTTTTCATCACGTTAAACTTCTTGCCGGTCCCTTCTTGTCTGCAAAGTTTCTTTTGAGAAATCAGCTGATAGTCTTATGGGAACTCCTTTGTAGGTAACTCTCTGCTTTCCTCTTGCTGCTTTCAACATTCTTTATCTTTAGCCTTTGGCATTTTAATTATGATGCATCTTGTTGTGGTCCTCTTTGGGTCCAACTTGTTTGAGACTCTCTGTGCTTCCTGGATTTGCATGCCTATTTCCTTCACCAAATTAGGGAAGTTTTCTTGCATTATTTTTTTCGAATAAGTTTTCAATTTCTCACTCTTCCTCTTCTCCTTCTGGCATCCCAATAATTCAGATGTTGGTATGTTTGGAACTGTCCCAGAGGCACATTATACTATCCTTGTTTTGTTTTTAATTATTTTTTCTTCTTGCTTTTCTGATTGAATGCTTACTTCTTTTTTATGTTCCAAATCATTGCTTTGAATTCTGGCTTCATCCCCATCACTGTTGGTTCCCTGTAGATTTTTCTTTATTTCACTTAGTATAACCTTCATTTCTTCCTGGGTTTTTTTTATTTTTTGGCCATACTCAATGAGTTCTTTGATCATAAGTGTTTTGAACTCTGTGTCTGATAGGTTATCTCCATTTAGTTTAGTTCTTTTTCCGGGACTTTGTTCTCTTCTTTCATTTGGGCCATATTTCTTTGTCTCCTCAATTTGGCAACCTCCCTGTGTCTGTTTCTGTGTATTAGATACAGCTGCTTTGGCTCCCTCTCTCAGTAGCATGGCCTGTGGTTTAAAAGACATCTGTAAATTGTGTGGTACAGAGCCTTAGATAGTCGCCAGGATGAGGCAACATGTTTCACCTCTTTATGGTTCTTTATTGGGGGAGGGTTTGCCCAGCACTCTCCCTGTGCAACTGGGGCCCTTCCAGCTGTTGGCCTGGTGCTGAATCCCAGCGAGGGTGAGTCTATGTATATTTTAAGTCTGTGCAGGCCCTTTAAGCAGAATCTCCTGAAAATCTGGCAGTTTCTTCCACCGCCCTGACCCCCGCTGGTTTTTACAGCCAGAAGTTATGGGGATTTATCTTCCCGGCACTGGAACCTTGGGCTGTGTAGTCTGGCCTGAGGCTGGGATCACATCGCTCCCAAGGTATCCCTCCTGATTTTTATCCACCAAATGTGAATGTGGGACCGCCTGTTTCCCCACTGCTGCCTCCGCATCTCTCCACCTGTCTTCTCGTCTCCACCCTTCCCCTCGTCTCCACCCTTCCCGCCCATCTGGATGAACATGGCTTGTTTAAATCCTTCATTGTTGGACTTCCAGACAGCCTGCGGTCAAGTTGTAATTCTTTCTGTGCTTGCACAAGGAAGTGAAATGTGTTTACCAACGCCTCCATCTTGACCAGACATCTTGATTAGCATTTGTTAAAGAACTGAAGGAAAAATAACTTTAAATCACGTATGATTTGGGAGGATGCATTAATTAAGCCTCTCCAGACAGGCAGGAGGGGGTGGGTGTGTGGGTGTGGAGAGAGAGTGTAGAGGCTTGGCTGGCCCAGAATCTGCACCCTAGGCTAGCAGGCCTGAAGCCCAGAAGAACTGATGGTGCAGATAAAGTCCAAAGGTATTTTGCTGGAGAATTCTCTCTTGTTTGGGGAGGCTTGTCTTTTTGTTCTATTCAGACCTTTAGTTGATTGGATCAGGCTCACCCATCCAGTGGAGGGCAATCTGCTTTACCAGAGTTCACCAATTTAATTCCTAATCTCAGCCAAAAATACATTCCTAGATGACATATTAACTATTATAGGGAACATTTTAATAGTGCCGAAATTTAAATGTTTTTTTCCAGCTGAGTTGTTCTTATTCAGTACTGCCCTTAGACCTAGAGGGTCCTACTTTGACTCCACTCTTTAGAGGATTCTGCTTTGGCCCTCATCCAGCCATGTCTCTTCCCATAGGACAAGACCAAGGGACAAAAGTTGTGTCTTCGCCGGGAGCCCAGGCCCTTTATTGTGGACCACCTTCTGGTTCCTCAGGACCCTGGAATTCTTTGCCTTGACAGCTGCAGGCCTATTTTCAGGTCCTGCGTGGGCACCTGCCCAAATTCACACTCATTTCCTATGTGGCTGTGTGCTCATTTGCAGTGAGAGGCTGCATACATGTGTGGCCTGGGATTTCCACCTTTATGCAGGTGGTGCCTCCCAATACAGGATGGATCCTGGAGTAGGAGGTGACATGGGGCAGGGCGACGGCCGTGTGCCTCTTCGCGCTCTGTCATCCTCAGGTAGTCTCTGAGGCGTCCAGATTGCTAAACAAGAGCTTTAAGTAATTACAAAGGTATGTTTACAAGATAGGAGGATGAAACATGCTTTATGTTCTAGTCGTCACTTTGTTAGCTTGATTTACAACATTTAAGTATTCAGATGTATGATAGATGGTCTTTAATTTCCACCTTTGCTGCAGTCCTCAGATGTTAAAGGCAGATCTTGCCTATTGAGGGTGAGCAAATTCATCGAATTAGAAGTTGATTACTAAATTTGAAATCAGGGTGTTATAAAACCAAGTAGTGGTTGTCCCTTGGGGAGGTGAGGTTATGATCAGGAAAGAGCCTGTCATGTTCCATTTCTCAGGTTAAGTAGTGATTACGCAGGTGTTTATTCTAAGTGCTCTTGGGCTTTGTGTATTTCTACCAATGGAGAGTGATCTTCCAATAAAATGTTTTCTTAAATCTTTTAAAAATATATTCTTAGAAAAAATTTTATATCTCAGGAAAACCTTCCTTTCAAACTTGTCCACCACAGATTATATTACATATGCTCTAAGAATCTTAGCCTAGTCATTGAAATAAACAAAAGTTACCTTAAAATTTCATGAAAGCAGTTAAATAAATTCTGTAATTTGTGTGCGTGTCTCTGTATACACGCATGTGGAGGCACATACTTAGGAACATGAGTTTGATTTTTGTTCTCAGAACCTCAGCCAAAGAAACAGCTGAAAGAAAACCTCTGTCTTCATTCTCAGTAGTTCCCATGGGTTAATGACAGAAGATACTTTCAAACATGTTTTTTTTTAAATTTGACTCTTAAGTCTGCGGTTTGTTTATATGAAAGAATGAGCAATGATAATGAAGGCAAAAAAATATTAACTTTTTTCAGGTTAGAGAATCATTATATGTGAACTTCGTTTTGTAAATTTATGAAAAAAACTTTCGGATACAGTTTCTATACACCAAACCATTCATTGTAACTGAGACTCTGTTCTTATCTTTCAGGTATCATCTTCAATAAAGAAAGAAAGTAATGAGGAAGGTATGGTATATTTTGGTTTTTGAGGAACTAGATATGTAAATTTATTCATTTACAGTTAGTGGAAACCAAAAAGAAGAAGGAAGGGAGGGAGGGAGGGAGGGAAGGAGGGAGGGAGGGAGGGAATGAGGGAAGGAGGGAGGGAGGGAGGGAGGGAGGGAGGGAGGGAGGAAGGAAGGAAGGAAGGAAGGAAGGAAGGAAGGAAGGAAGGAAGGAAGGAAGGAAGGAAGGAAGGAAGGAAGGAAGGAGAAAGAAAGAGAGAGAGAAAGAAAAAGACAGACTAATTTAAAAGTTATATAAACTAATGCCCAGGCCACGTAGCTCAGTTGTTTGGAGCATCATCTTGATACACCAAAGGTTGAGGGTTTGATTCCCAGTCAGAGTATGTAGAGGAGTCAACCAGAGAATACATAAATAAGTAGAACAACAAAACAATGTTACTCTCTCAAATCAGTAAATAAACATTTTTTTAACGTTACATAAGCTAAGTGAAATACTTTTTAAAAGTCATTAAAATTTTCATATGAAATACCTTATTTCCTAATTTCAGAAACTGAGAAAGTAAATTTATAACTTTAATGCTAGAAAATGGTTTGATTATGTAGTGACTTTTTGGTGAAGTAGGGAGATTCTAGCTAGTTCTGATAAACTTAAAAAGACTCTAAATACCTGATTTGGGAGATTGTCTTTATTATCTTTTATTATTTTAATCATTCATTTTAACTGAAATTTTAAAAATCTAGTAGGATTAAAAACACCGTATTTCTTATTACCATTATTTGAAGCTGTTTTGAGACACAAGCAAAAATGTACTATGGTAAAAGTTTCAGAATACAAGCACATGCACATATCATTTGTCTTTCAATATTTGGCAAGACTTTTGCTCTTTTGCTTTAATAGAAAACAGGAGAAGAATATTGAACTTGCAAATTTGGAGGAAAATGAGAACTCTTTACTGTGAGTCCACTTTTAGGATGTATAGAAAGGAGCAAATTCATAGACATGATTTCTTTGGGAAGCATGAAATCATTCCCATTCCTTATATGGGAAACTAACCCTTTATGTCTTTGTAATACTGTCCTGTTTGGGGTATTCAATAGGTAGTCAGATTTTACAGTTTAAGGTTTTTCTAGGCTTTTCGTGCTATAGCTAGGGTACTAACTTCTGCAATAATCAGTAGAGACTAAAATGACCCAGAAAGAACTAGGAAATGAAGCGAGAAGACTCTAGAATTTCTAGTGTGGTTTTATATAAGACTTGTTCCAAATGAGAGAGCTTGAGTTTCAATGGAAATAGCTTTAAATAGAGAAATATGTCATACTAAGCTTCTTGATTGTCTTTATCTGCCTAAACACTTCCTAAATGTATAAATTAAATTTGTCTTATTCTTCCATGCTCCCTCCCTTGTCACCCCTTCCCTAACACCTTCCCCCCCCCCCCCATTTTAAACACAGAGCAAGTGTGGCACTTCCTTGGCAAGCAATGGGAGCATTTGAAGCTCTGCCATCAAGACTTCAGTTTCTAAGGGCTTCCAGGCTCCGCCTCCCTCAAGTGCGAGAGATAAGCTGATCTATGAGAATCTGATGACTTTCTGCTGAAACTTCATTTTTTCCCAAACTTTCTGAAATATGTACTGTTTAAATAAACACTGGAATTTTTGAATTAGTCTCTTCCAGATATTTACTGATGTGAAAAAGATCTAATTTTAGAGCAAAAATTTAGAAGCATCAAGTTTCGACTGGTTCAGATTTCCATGCCTGAAGGAGCCCAAAGATTTTATTGGCATTTGTTTTTATAGGCTAATGTAAAATTACAAAGTTAGTACATTAGTAAGATTTCTGTAGATATTATTGTTTTTATTTTCATACCTTATTATCTCTTTTCAAGTCCATTGCTGGTAGAGACTTCATTTAGCCAATTTCTGTCCACTTATTAGTCCTGTGTAAATGTGTTTACATTTTAAGGCTCTTCCCTGTAATTTATTGTTTTAGAGGGTCCAGTCTCTGTGTGAGTCTCATCTGGTTTCCTTAGTTCTGACTCTCTGTGGTGACGACTCCCACATCCACCTAAGAGGCCCATGTCTTTTTTCCTGGGATCTGCCTACTGGACGCCTCTTCAGATCCATGTGACCCCTCTGATCCAAGACTCACCTCATGTTAATTCCTTTGTTCTTCTTAATTCTTTTGTTCTTGAACAGTGTAATTAACATTCTCCAAGTCCTCCACTCAAACCCTTGAACGTGTCTTCTATGATCTTTACTCATGAAGGTCATCTAACTGTTTCAGAGTCCTCTCCATCCCTTCACACCCAGTCTTTGCTGCTTTCCCCCTATGTCACTGGCAGGGTTATAACAGCCTCTTTTTTGTGCCTTTCTGATCCAGCCCCTCCTCCTCAGCCCCAGTTGTTCTGGCTCAGTTTCATACTCTCTTGCCTCCTAAGCCCAGCCTCTGGCTTTTCTCCCTCTATACTACCTTCCACATTTCTAAACAGTTGTTTTCCTAAAGCACAGGCCTTGCCTTATTATATTTTTCTCAAAATGCCTTCAATGGCTTTCCATATTCTTGAGGGAAAAAAAGAGCAAAAAGCTCCGATTTTCTCAGGAAACCCTCCAGCCACGCCCTGCTGCTCCCTCCTCGCCTCACACACCTTGTGTTTGTACACTCCTGGTGTGGTGCTTCACTTGTCTTGCCAAATATTTTCCTTCCCTTTTTCTATTATCATCATCAACATGTGACATTTACAGAATATGCTTTGTGAATAAACAGTTTTTATCATAAGCACTGTTATGCTAATAGTTACCATTTATCGAGTGTTCTTTATTAGGCTCTGCTTTAGATGTCTTATGTGCATACACTGTATAAGGTACAATGGATTTTGTCCACTTCATATTGAGACTCTGAGAATTCTATAATTTGCTCAAGGTCATATAGCTAGTGAGTTTAAGAGCCAATATTAGGACCCATGACTGTATGGCTCTCAATGTGTTTGTCTTTCCGCTTCCTTCTATATGCTGTTTCCCCCATATAGTTCCTCGTGATGTAGGCGAAGCTCAGAGCATGCCTGTTTTACAGAACAGGAAACAGGCACACAGGGCGGGACTGGCCCAAGTGAAATAGCAAGGTCCACTTGCAATGTCTTTGGGAACGTGTGAACCTCATGGAGAGACATGAAGGAATCTAAGGGGAGAATTAATTAGTTCTAATTTTATTGATATATTGTCCTTTTCATTTTGAAAATAAAATCTATGGAAATATAAAAAGTGGAGACCAGTTGTTATTTTAATAATTATAAGCAAGCTGAATTGCCAAAGGATATAGGGAAGTCATGGCATGAGGCATATCGGTCTCCTGAAAGTTGGAAGAGAGAAGCCACGTCTGGTGGGCCTCTTAGAGTGTATCAGGTGAAACAGAGCCTTTGTCAGTCACATCCCAAATGCCATGACTTAAGGGTGTTTTGGGCACCTGGAGAGGAAGGCTGACTGTGCTGCTGCTTCTCTATTCAGAATGCACTGTAGGGCTATAGCCTACATAGGGCTCTTGATAGCCTATGTAGGTTCTTTGCCCTTTTTTAAGTGCCTCATTGCAAAGGAGTGAATCACAGAAATATTAGGGGGATTTGATTACATCAGTGTACAATACATCTCACTGTGATGATTTTAATTAGCCAACTCTTTGTTTAGACATGCTTTCTCATTAACGCTATTTTTAAATGCATCCATTCAACAGTTACTTATTGACTGTCTATATAGACACTAGTCCTCACTTAGCATCATCAGGAGGTTCTGCAACTTCAAGTGAAATGATATATTGGGTTGGCCAAGAAGTCTAGTTTTTTCCATAAAATAAAAACACATTTTTCATTTTCACCAATAACTTTATTGATTTGGATATTTTGAATATGTTGGCTGTCTCCAGCATGGTATCGCATTGATTGTTCTCAGTCAATGCCTCGATTCGATCGCTATCAACTTCTGGTCTACCTGAACATGGGACATCGTCCAGCAAGAAATCTCACCATGAAACTTTGTGAACCACTTTTGACACATTCATTCAGTCAGTCACAAGACCTTCTCCATACATGGCACAGTTTTTTGTGTTCCAGTTGTGTTTTTACATTTCTTTAAATAATAAAGCATAATATGCCAAAATATTGCTTATTTTCTTCCATCTTCAATATTCAAATGGCTACATAAAAATCGCTAATTTTTATGTTTTTTTTTTTAATACAGATATGACAGGTGTCACAATATAATCTAACAATATTGTTTTGAGTGAAGTTAAGGACAACTAAATGGTACTAGAGCCATCTTATGGAAAACAACAAATGATCTTTTGGCCAGCCCAGTATAATGAAACCAATGTTACCATAGGCTAATTGATATAAACAAGAGTTCCTGCAGCATCTCATCAATGTTATAACAAAACAACACTGAACAAAACATGAAGGAGGACCTGCTGTGTATACCAGGTACCATTCCAAGTTTTTAGGACATGTCACTGCAAAACAAAAATTCCGGCCTGTATGGACCTTGCATTTTGTGTGTTGAAGACAAATCTTAAACATAGTAAGTAATTTATGTGCAGTATGTAGAAGGGAAAAGACAGGATAAGGGGGGTCAGCAATCTGTCTTGTGTTCAGGGGAAGGCTGTGAATTAAAGTCTTAAATTGAGCAGCTCAGGGCAGGCCTAGTTGGGGAGATGACAGAGTAAAAGTTGAAGAGAAGCAGGAGTAGGCCTAGGCAGGTGTGAGAGAACTGAGGCAGAGGCAGCTCCAGGAACAAAGACCGAAAGGCAGAAATGTGACCCACTTGTTAGAGGAACAGTAAGGAGGCCCCCTGGCTGGAGGGAAAGGAATAGGGGAGGAGATCCCAGAGGTGGCAGGGAGATCACATAAGGGGCCAACATAAGGACGTGAAGGCCTTTTACTCTGATAAAATCAGCCATCGGAGAGTCCTGAGCAGAGAAGTGTGGGTCACTCCAACTGCTGTGTTGAAAATAGATCGTGCTGCCCAGGCCGGGTGGCTCAGTTGCTTGGAGCACCCTCCTGTACACCAAAAGGTTCTGTGTTTGCTCCCTGGGCAGGACACACAGGAGGCAAAGGGCTGAAGTTTCTCACATTCATTCGTTCTCCACCTCCGCCCTCCACCCCAAAATCAATGAACATATCCTCCGGTGAGGGTTTTGGAAAAATAGATTGTGCTGGGGTGGGAAGTCGGGGACTATATAGGTCAAGTGTGGAAGCAAGAAGATCACTTACGAGGTTTCTACAATAATCCAATAAATTTGTTGTTTTTCCTTTTTTGAGGTCATTTTCTAAGTATAAATTCCCTAAGGTAGTCAGAGAATAAGAACATTTTAGGGCCAAATACATTTTTGTAAGGATTATTCCAAATTATACTGTCACCAGCAATAGATGAGGTTTCTAGTTTCTTCTATCCTACCATTCCCTGGATAGGATATTTTATTGTTGTCACTGTTATTAATAGATTTAAATTTTTTCCTACCTATTTACTAATTGTCTCTTATGAATGTTCTCTTGATTTACCTGTTTTTCTTCTGAATATTAATGTTTTTATTTATATGATGTCCTTAGTTTTAGGTGCAAATTTAGATTCTTTTCCCCACATTCAAATAAAAAATTTAGACATGAGCCTTCGAAATATTTATACAAAGTTAGCTGGGAATTGGGAGTGAAGTATACTAATTTTCCTTTATACAGTATTAGCTACAGGAATATACTTACCGCTTCCTTTCTCTTAAAAATTAGGAAAGATAACTTTGTAATGCTAATACTCTAAATTTAAAATGGATAAAATGCTAAAACCAGTACAGTTTTAAAAGAAATCTTGAAAAAAAGTCAAACAATGAGTTTTATCCAAATAGAGAAGCTGAAACTGGGGGCAGATATGCATCTGTGGTCCTCAACCAGGAGAACTTGGCAGTTGGCAGGGTCAGGGGTTAGCTTCCTAAAATGAGGTTTCTCCCTGCTTGGGAAGTAGAACATCAACACTAGGATTCTGACCAGAATCTAGACAAAGACTGCTGAGCTCTCAGTGAAATGGGCAAGTAGGCTGGGCTGTTCCTATCTAAACCAGCAGCAACACAGGCAAGGACACAAGCGGAGGCCCGCTGTGTGCAGGAGATCCCTGCAAAACTTCTGGGAGTGGTGCAGAAAGAAGTGGAACAGAATGGGGGCTGTTGACTCTAAGGTCACCTGTTGCCCTTTTCAAGTACTGCTTCTTGAGCTCTTTATCCTCAAAGTTCGTCTCAAATGCTGCCTTTTCTGTGAAACCTCCAGTCCTTCCTATTGAAATCAACCATTTTCCTGTGTGAGAGAATAGCACTATGGATTTTTAGCATTATTACAGTATTTAGGCTGTCGTGGCTTATATTGTTTTAGACTTGTTCGGTGTCTCTACTACTGGATTGTACTCTCACTGGGTGTCTTGAAACTTTGTGTTTTTACACATTAACAATTTGTTGTATGAAATTGATAGAACATTCTGTGAGGAAGACAGATATGCTTTCTATTTTACTTATTATATTAAATTTAAAGGTTAAGTAGATTCCCAGAAATCATGGATCTTCTGCATATGTAGTTCTGTTACTGCAGCTGAATGAATGCATTTTGAGGGATATTGCTCTAGTCTGTTCCAAAAGGTCATGTGAGATCTTTGGAATACAAGAATCTATTCCTTTTAGGGATCTCCAGAAAAGGGGAGATTTAGTGTCTAACCTACTAATTATTTTATTTTGCTTTTAATGTGTACTCAAAGAATTTACAAATCGTAAGGTAAAAATATAAGAAATTTTTCTAAGTTGACTAATTCTTACCTCCTAAAATTCTTCTCGTCATTGAGATTTTTCCTAAAATCCTTCCTAAATTATCTTCTTTGCTATAGAGTCCCCAAATGAATAAACATTTGCCTACTGAAAAAAAAATACTTCATTTTTTATGCATTCTGTATACCTAGAATTGTTTTTGCTTTCTGAAACAATTAGTGTTATCCAATCCCCACCTCCAACAAGTGAATAAATGATATCCAGAAAGTAAGATTTTCTGAAAAGGATCTTATTTATTACTTGTATTCAAGGCATTTTGAGAGTTATACAGGAATCTTCTGATGCCCCCAGAGAATAGTTTAACTTATGTAAAAACAGTACCTAATTGTGAAAATACTGAGGCTGATCAACATATGTTTACTGTTGATCTTTTGTGAAATATGAGGCAAAAATAAACATGAAATACGTAAAAAT